ATTCTAATACTACGAGAAGTTTGCTATTAAACGATACACCTTTAGAACAAATTTTGCGATTGAAAAAACGACCATTACTTATCGGCCAACCTAATAATTTAACCACTGGCACAATGCATGGATTGTGATGCTTAATTACTGGTGCATCCATTTGCGGGAGCAGTCTGTCAATGTTCCCAGTTCTTTGTTGCGTTGAGTGCTTAATAGTAACCATGGCACAAACCCCAAATGCAGGGTATGGCTTAGTGATGTGGAATAAAGTGTCAGCAATAGCCCCCCCCCCCCCCCCCCGGTACGACCGTCATGCTACGTACCATCTTGCCTAGTTTTTCCCAGCTTCCTACCACTTTTCCAGATTTTCCAATTTTTTCACCTCTGCCAAAAACACTGTTTTTCCATATCAAATTGGAAAAGTGCCGCCGGGTTGGTAGAGTGGGGCACGGGGTTAATCGGGAAAACTCAACAACAAGTCACCTGAAAAAATCTGTCGCGCTCGAAAATACTCCTATGAAAACCCGAAGCCGGATACTGCCCTCTTCCCAGCGACCATGAACCACTCCGTATGATGCGATTCTCCCGGCAATGTTACCCCTATAGGATGTCACGTCCCAAAAGATGTTAAAAAGTGATTAAAGCAGCAGAAGAACGAGGAAATATTGAGGGGAAAGAAAGTCCTGCAACAGCTTAACACGTTGGCGACATTGCGTCCCACTGCTGGGACGCGGCATGGGTAAAGAACCAATTTGAAGAGGTTTCGAATTTTCAACAGCTGCATATTGTCCATGAAGGCATTGTAGAATATACAGTAGCTGTAAACCGTGCAGTTGTGTCATTGAGAGTATTTTACCGAGGAGACGAAAGTGATTTCCTAGGAAAAGAAAGATATTTCTTGGATATATCCAGGGGGGGGGGCAAAAAAAGACATTTCGACCGAGTCACATATCAGCAAAGTTTTCGCAGCCCAGACAGAGGACGTGGATACGAGTACCAGGAAGATACCCAAGATGTTCCTCTATAAGCAGGAGCTGGCGCTCGCCCATTTCATGTACACCAAAATATGAAGTCATCTCCAGTCGCAACCTGACTGGAGAAGACCTTTGGAATTCATGTCACCTCCAAACAGCTGCGAAACTTCTAGTATGGAGTCACCCATGGATAGCTACCTGGAGACCAGTACTCTCGATCTGGAAGACCTCCATCATCGAGCAGCTCCGTCAACGTCGCTACGGTCTAGGACATCATCTTCACCTCAGTCGCCAAGGCGCCAGTTGATGGTGGGGACCGGACGTACCTGGAATGGAGACCGATATTTTCTTCGTGGGCCCCGGACTGAAGGTGAGCGCTGGCGGTTACATCGAGCAACTCGAGAAGAATTTCCTCTCCACATTGCCCGTCTTGGCGACTGAGGTGAAGATGATGTCCTAGACCGCAGCGTCGTTGACGGAGCTGCTCGATGATGGAGGTCCTCCAGATCGAGAGTACTGGTCTTCAGGTAGCCATCCATGGGTGACTCCATACAAGAAGTTCCACAACTGTTTGGAGGTGACATGAATTCCAAAGGTCTTCTCCAGTCAGGTTGCGAC